CCCCCTCCCTTAAATCGCAGCAGTGCCCCATCCTCGGCAAGGTTGACCTTGCCTGCCCCTGTCCCAGCTGAAGAAGCACTTTCAAGTTTTAGGCGGAAATTTACTTGGGATTTTCTTGCAGAAAGCAAAGAAGGCTCCCTATGTGACTTTTTCTGTATATCACTTAGAAAAAGCTAATTAATCTTATTAGGAGTATCAAATAACTGCACAAAGGGATGAGATAAGAGGATGGAAATATTCAACAGCAAAACACACATATTAGTCCAGCCAACAATTGATGATTTATTGTGCTTTGTCAAAACTTTAACAATAACTAGTATATTTAATTTATGATACCGCTCCTCAAGTGTCCTGCTTGTTTCCACGCTTAGGAACATCAGTATTTCTCCTAAATTTCTCTTGTGTAGGCACAAAATCAGTAGGGTCGTTTAGAAATTACTTTATAGGCCATTCGGTAGATGTCATAGCAATGAAATAGGTAAGCTTAGTTTTCAGAGGACACTCAGGGCTTTCCGTTTCTACAGGAAAAAACCCTGAGCTCAGAGTGCTCCATCCAGGTTGTCAGTCTAGACACACCGTGGCACGTGGAAGTCTGGAAGCTGCCAATCCAACTTATCTTGGGGAGTGAATGTTTCCTGCGTTTAGTTGAACTGGCAGCTCTCTAGTACATCTGGACAAGTTTCCGGAAAGGTGACCGGGCTGCTGGGTGGTAATCCATGAGTCCAGCCACTCCCATCACCTCTCTCTATCCCAAGCTCTCCCTACTTACTTGGGACAGCATTTAAAGAGGTGGAAGAAAGTTGGCAGATGCAGCATTTTGGCTGTGCCAAGTTTGTTAGTACCTCAGTGATAACTGATAACTTCATGATTTTTCAAATTATTTTATTTGGTTTTATGGAGATTTTTCTGTGATTGGTGTATAGTGAATTTTACCAAAATGTAGTAGGTACACATTGAATTACATGATCCCACAGTAATGTTTTTTCCCTACCAAAACACTGTCATTTGAATATCCTTTTTTTCCCCTGTATGAGCTTTGATAGATTAAGAAGTTAACTTCATTCTTTACTTCCTTAAATAATATCTGGAAAATTAAGTGGTATGGAAACACTTTGCTTCTGTATGTAAAATAACAGACTTATTAAGCTGCTAAAGTGAAGTTTGTTCTAGTATTTATTTTTTTTTATATATAGAATCATAGAATGGTTTGGGTTGGAATAGACTTTTAAAAATTGTCTAGTCTGACCCCCCACACACTAGACCAAGTTGTTCAAAGGTCCATCCAGCCTGGGCTGGGACCCTACCAGCAATGGGGCATCCACAACATCACTGGGCAACCCGCTCCAGTGCCTCACCACCCTTGCTGTAAAGAATTCCTTCCTGTTTAAAACCGTTGCCCCTTGTCCTGTCCCTGCAGGACAGGACACCAAGATATATCTGCAAAGATCAAGTTATCTGCATGCTTTCTACCTTCCCATCATTTTGCACTTGAACTACTACTACTAATCAAGAGCTGTGCTGGATTTTTAAAGGTGGTCTGTTCCCATATAATCCAAGACCGTATTTCCAACACTTAAACATGCAGGGAACCAAGTGATTTTTGGAGGTGGGTTCATGAGTGTCTGAGTGGAACCTTCTTGATACCTAATGCGTCTTAACAGCGTGAGACCTTTTCGGTAGCCTAGGAAAATTCTCTTTAGAAAAATCATGCCTTGCTTGTGAACATTAGGATGTGCTTATAAAGACGTAGCATGGCTCAGTGAAGTTGCTGGAAATCTGTCAACTTGAAGAGGAATGGATCAAGCTAAAAAAGCTGTCTTGTGTTTCCTTTTTTATTAAGCTCCCACTTATTCTCTGGGTAGGTTCACTTCATCACCGGGTGAAAATGCATTCCAGGTGAAGATCACCGCTCCTGATGAACAGTTCACTCGAGTTGGCGTGCAAGTACTAGACAGGAAAGATGGCTCCTTCCTTGTCAGATACAGGATGTATGCAAGCTACAAAAACCTGAAGATAGAAGTCAAAGTGGGAGATAAACATGTCGCAAAGTCTCCATATATTTTAAAAGGTAAGAAACAGCACTACACGCAGATTTCCTACCATGGTTTTTTCTCACAAACCACGTCCCAGAGTGTCTTCTAGGATTAGCACAGGATTCTGCGGGACCTCAGTATTTCTCTGGACTATCAAATTCCATTGGAATTAAGGATTCATTATATGTGTCCTGCACATACTATTCAAAATAATAAAGAGAAACAAATGCTGCAAAGCTGTTGCCTAGTGAATGCACGTAGAGGGCTCACGCAGAAGCTGATGTGGCTTGGCATGACTCCATTGGAGTCAAAAAGTGTTCAAACATATCCGTTTAGAGTTGCTGAAGGTTTGGCCCTAAGCAATGAATGCGCAGTGCCTTGACCCTCTTTTGTGATCTCAACAGTTCAATAGTGTGACTTATTAAAAAGTAAAATAATAATTGTGTTCCTGATAGGACCTATTTACCATGAAAACTGTGACTGCCCTCAGGAGGAGAGCAGTGTGTGGCTGGAAGAGATGAACTGCCCTCAGATCATTCCACAGATTCAGAGAGACCTAGCAAATTTTCCCATTGTTGATCCAGATAAGATAGCAAAAGAAATTCCACAGAGGTTTGGACAAAGACAGAGTTTGTGTCATTACACCATCAAGGATAACGAGGTATGGAATGGGTTGATCAGAATTCCATATGGGGATTTGGTGGCAAGTCCTACAACTAGGCTGTTCGGCTCTTCCCAGTTGAAAGACTTCTTGTAGTCTGTTTTTTAAGTCTGTTCTTGCTTGCTTGCGTGTCCTTAAATACTCTGCAGTTTGTGCCTGAGCTCAGCGATGTCTGTCCTACTTCGTCAAGTGTTACAACTGAAGCACAGTGAAGGCAAATTACTGTCCAAGCAATCAATATGAGTACTGGGCACAGACCCAAATCTCCTAAGTGCTAATTCAGTTTCCTGTTCTCTGAGTAATATTGCTGTGGAGTGTCACAATCGTCTAATTTGATATGCATCAATAAATTACATTGTGCATAATTATGAGGTAAAGAAATACCACTTTTAGCTCCACTGAGGATCAGAGCTACAATTCTTTTTAACAAAACCGTACTGACTTCAGTAGAGTTTCATATGGAAATGAGAACAATGGAACACAACAGAAACAGGCAACCAGTTTCTGTTTCCATGAGGCAGACATGAACCATCTGCGAAAGCAAGCAAAGTTTGTCCTTTTTTTTGGTCACTTTTATGTGAGAAGTTGGAGAGGTGAGGTTTCTAAAGCTTCCCACCTGATTCATAAACCTGTACAGCCATACAATCTGTCTGACTAGTTACTTAGTAAGTGATTGAGAGAGCTCTAAGTTGTGCCAGCCATTCTCTGAAATGAAAACACCAGACCAGTAAAACCTTTGTTTATTTTCAGGTTTATATAAAGACGTATGGGGAACACGTTGGCTTCAGAATTTTCATGGATGCCATATTGCTTTCTTTGACAAGAAAAGTGAGTACATGTCTACAGTCATTTATTCCGTGTGTCCTAATTTATGGAAGCCCGGGCTTAGCAAATACACTTCAGCGTATTTGTTGCTATTTCTGTTAAGAAGCCCTTCTTATTCTTTGATTAGTAATGGAAAGGTCAGATGTGTTTTCCTTGTTTGAAGTTGGCATGTTCTAGAATGCTATCCAATCAGTGTATGGAGTATCACGAATGTGAATTGAATAGCAGGCTTTTATAGGAGAATTTGATAGATTTGGACAGAGCATATTTCCCCCCCACCCCCCAGACTAAACAAATCATCCTGAAGCTCCTAATAGAAAATTCAGTCTCAGCTAGTACATTTTACAGGATGACTGAAAAAAAAATAGGGAATGTATATCATTCTCCATTAAATTCCATATGTTGAAAACAAGACAGGAAGGATTGATGTTGTGGTTTAACCCCGGCCAGCAGCTAAGCACCACACAGCTGCTCACTCACTCCCCCCACAGTGGGATGGGGGAGAGAATCAGAAGAGTAAAAGTGAGAAAACTCATGGGTTGAGATAAAGGCAGTTTAATAGGGAAAGCAAAAGCTGCGTGTGCAAGCAAAGCAAAACAAGGAATTCATTCACTGATTCCCATGAGCAGGCAGGTGTGCAGCCATCTCCAGGAAAGCAGGGCTCCATCACGCATGACGGTGACTTGGGAAGACAAACACCATCGCTCCAAACGTCCCCCCCTTCCTTCTTCTTTCCCCGGCTTTATATGCTGAGCAGGACGTCATATGGTATGGAATATCCCTTTGGTCAGTTTGGGTCAGCTGTCCTGGCTGTGCCCCCTCCCAGCTTGCCATACACCTGGCAGAGCTGAGAAGTCCTTGGCCAGTCTTAGCACTACTTAGCAACAACTGAAACATCAGTGTGTTGTCAACATTATTCTAACACTAAATCCAAAACACAGCACTATGCGAGCCACTATGAAGAAAATTAGCTCTATCCCAGCCGAAACCAGGACAGTTGAGAAAGAGCACCAAAAACCCAGCAGGTGGCATGTGGGGAAACTCCCTTGATGTACAAGCAAAAATCACCCCACAAACTTTTTCCTAGGGAATTTTGGAAAAAACATGACATTATGTAAATAGTGACAGAACATAGCAGGGCTGAAGCTTCAGCACACGCAAATAAGTGATTATTATGTAAATAGAGTAGCAAGAGAACTATGAAGATATCTGAGTTAATATCTATTTTTGACTGTAAAAAGACAAAGCACTTGTATTTTAAAAAGGAGAGAATGAAGAGAGAGGAGTTACTGAAGCATGGAGTTGTTCACCTAAAAAAAATTCCTTGAAAAGCTAGTAAAAAATAAACACGGTATTTATAAACGTGTAAGGTAAGAAAAGTGTGTTGTATGAAACAACATGGGTTTATCATAAAAAATAAGTCATAACCATATAATTTCTTTATATAACAAGATAATAGGCTTCCTGCATGGATGTTAAGTATCTTAATTTTAGTTAGGCTTTTGAGGGTAAGTCTCAGGAGTTTCTCAGAAACAAGATAGGAAAACTTTGCCTATAAGGAACTATTGTAGCCTGCTTGGAAAGCGTTACTTAAATAATAGTTGCCAATGTTTCCAGAGAGGCGAAAGGTGTGACAAATGTTGTATTCAGAGATTTGTCCTAGGTTCAGTCCCCATTTAATGACCTAGTTCTATTTTGACTGAATGATGGACTAGAGAATATGCTTATTGAATTCTCAGATAACAAAAATGAAAGAACCTGCAAGCACCTCATGGTACAACATTGTAATTAAACATTTTTGTAACAAGTAAGAGAAACTGTATGGAAAAATGGATAAAAAAGTGACGAGGGCAGGAAACTATGCAAAGGCTGGATAAGTCATATAGTTATGACAACTACTTACAATAGGGAGCGAGTGGTTATGTTATGTTCTGCAGAAAAGTGTGAAGGTTACTGTACCACAAATTTAACATGAGCCAACAGCGGCATGCTGTTGCAAAAAGCTAAACACACACATTAACAAAACAAACACATGAAAGAAATGTAGAGTAACCTTTCCACTATAGTCAGGATTAGCAATGGATCAGTTATGCTCCCATGTCTGCCTTTCGGTGTCATGCTTCAGGAAAGATTGTTCAATTACTGATGTTGCACAGGAAAGCGGTAAGAATGACTAGACATAGAAACAAAGATTCATTTAAGTAGGGATTGCTTCATCTAACAGTGTCTAAGGGAAGACATAGATGTAGCCTTTAATTATCTAAATCTATGGGAGATGGAAGTAAGCTGTTCTTGGCATCAGTAGCGTCGGACAAGAAAGCATGGAATTAAATTGCATCAAAGCTATGTAGGCTAAATATTGGAAAGGACTTGCTAACTCCAGAGGAAGAAACTGTTTACAGATCTGGAAAACACGGTTTGTCTCATCTCAGTTAAATACTGCAGGAATTTCTGTTAAGACAGTGACACTGAAAGGCAATAGATCTATTGGGTTGGGGAAGAAAGTTTAACCCGTTGGATGATTCTGCCATTGAGGATGTAGATAAAATCTAATTTGTAGCTTTTCGATGTCCATTACAACCAGTAGATGGCACTGTACTAATAAAGTTTAGGGCTGAAGATCAGAACGTGTAGCCAAATGAAATGAAGGAACACAATAAAACCTTTTCTGTCAGTCTGAAGACAAAAAGTACTGCTTTGGGTCTCCGTCTTCAGAATTTCTTGATGCCTCTGCCAAAGGTTTTCCCATGTCATCATGTTAGAGAAGAATACCTCCAGCCATTTAGAAGGGTGTTTGCTATTTGGCAAATTATTAATTTCTGTCTCTGTCAGAAGATAAATTAAATTAGAAACTTAATGAAACCTGTTTGGGCCACAGAAGAATCCCGAAATGTTAGTCTGTGGCCAGCCATTCTGATCTGAGGAATAAAGGAGTTTGAGAGGAGAAATGCTTTGGTGCATATATATGATGAGGAGTCAGCAATATGTTTAAACTCTATTTTTACGTGTATGTGTATATTTTAATTTGAGAATTATTAACATTCATAATTGTTCTTTCTTCAGAGAAGATATTTTTCATGTAGATATTAAGACAGTCAATGATAACACTTGAACAAAACGTCCTGATCGCACACATACAATCATGATCTCTAAATTATCTGTTAGTAGTCAGGACAGAGATCTTGGAGTTACTCCAACAGTTTTCCAAAAATGCCAGTATAATAATCAGATGTTTGCAATAGTCAAATACCCAATTAAGACTTATTAAGGAGGGAGGAAAAAGCAAAAGAAAAAAGATTATGTCACAGTATAAAACCTGTGGCTTCTCTCTTTTGAAAACAGTGCCATTCTCATTTCACTTTCTCAAATAGAACACTGCAGCAAGAAGGCTGTTTGGGCATACAAAGACAAGCTAATTTGACTAGGATTCTTTTGCTTTGAAAGAAGCAACCAGGGAGGATGTAGTGGAGATTCATATCTTTAAAAAATGAATGTCATGAAGAGGGTGACCTAAGAACAGATACAGCACCACTTCTGCACTGACATTATACGTGCCTTCAGGGTTCTGTAAAACTCAACCATATGTCATATGTCACCTTCAGCCTTCTGCTCTCCACACTGAAGTGTCCCCCCATTTTCAGTTTCTACTCACAAGGCAGCTGGTCCGTCCCTATCGTAGCAGCTGCCTTGCTTTGTACTTTCTCTTACTTAGATTGAAAATGCCAGAACCATACACAATGCTCAAGAAGGGGGTGCATGAATGTTTCATATAGCAGCAGAGCTATGCCCTCTGTCCTGTTGTTACAATGCTTCCTGGCCATCAATGGTATTTTGCTTGCTTTTTGACTGCGACAGTGATTTCAGATATGGTTCCACACTACCCACTATTTTAAATAAGTGAGGATGTTATGCTTAATCATTAATGCCAGCGCTGACTAAATGTGGTCTTCCCATCATGGCTGTTCATTTCTGTTACTTCTCTTGTGTTGGTTTTAGTCATCATGCAGACACAGGGCAAATCACTTCACCGATGTGACAGAAAACTAATCTACCACCCAACAGCAATTTTCCATACAGTCCACAAGGTGGTGTTCAACTTGCCTTGGAACCACACGATTGCTTACTAGATCCCTGTGCTAGCCTGGCACAAAGATTGTGTGGCTAATCATGTAAAGTATAACCAGAAACCATCCTCTAAATTGGGGTGTTCCTATCCCTTAAAAAAAAAAAAAATTGAGCACATTTATGTGACTTCATGCAAATCTTGGAAAAAAAAAAAAAAAAGTCTATCTTGTAGGCTTTACTCTGTGGTCTCTGTACTTCTAACATGTTTCTAAACTTTAAGGATTTATTACAGGTACATTAAGTATGTTAGAGACCTGGCTACTTTTTCTTTTAGTGAGGTTGTTTTCAAAATGCAAGATGCCAGCAGACTTCATGCAAATCTTGGAAAAAAAAAAAAAAAGTCTATCTTGTAGGCTTTACTCTGTGGTCTCTGTACTTCTAACATGTTTCTAAACTTTAAGGATTTATTACAGGTACATTAAGTATGTTAGAGACCTGGCTACTTTTTCTTTTAGTGAGGTTGTTTTCAAAATGCAAGATGCCAGCAGAAGAATCCTGCTTTGTATTAAAACACATGTGTGCCTACTTTGCTTCTGTTTAGGTGAAAATGCCAGATGTAGAATTTTTTGTTAACTTGGGCGACTGGCCTCTGGAGAAAAAGAAGTCCCCACAGAACCTGCACCCCATCTTCTCATGGTGTGGGTCCAGTGAGTCAAAAGACATTGTCATGCCAACCTATGACTTAACAGACTCAGTTTTGGAGACTATGGGACGGTAAGAAATCGCTTAAAATTTTCACAAAATTCACAGTGAATTATCTTCCAAAAATAGGTTTGTATTAACAGTGTATGAACTGTTCTACTCATTTATTCATTGCAACACTGTCACCTTGTAGGTAGGCAGTAACTGTGTAATTAATATCTTAACATTAACCAAGTTATGTATTACATAACAGAAATGACATACATTAAAATACCTCACTGTTGTATTAAAAAAAAAAATCAAAATTAATCTAAACACGGTCAAGTCATTGAAAACAGCACTTGGAGGGAAATTTTCAAGAGTAGGTATTTTGTTTGTTTGCTTTGTTTCCCCCCCATGAACATGTTGGCAACTGGCCAACTCTTTTTTTTTTTTTTCCTGATTTTCCTAGAATCTTTTTTTCTGTACCTTTTAAAGCCCAGCGTAGCCAGAGCTCTCAGCCTTGGACCTACCATCTCCCACTTTGTTCACTGATGATAGCTGGCCTTCATAACTGCTCTGTCGCCATCCTGAAACACTGCAAAGCCAGCTTCGAGGAGATCTTTGTTACTCACTTCGAACCTGTGTATCTTTTCACTGTGTTCAGTTCAGGTTCCTGGTTTTTATTATCAAGACTCTTCCAAAATTTGCTCTCTCCTGCTGCCCCCCCTCCCCCAATTTCTGTGTTTTGCTTTAGCAAAGGAAGTGAAATATGTTGTATTAAGCTAGTTACATAAAAACCTTGCTTTGGACTATGATGAGTGCCTCATCACCGCTATCAGCTATTGCATTACCCTGCCCTGTATCACCTCCTCTGTCTGGCAACCATATCCACTTTTAGCCACTTTTTTCCATGACAACTGACAGGCCAACTACTTTCCACATGCTGTGGTGTTGTTGAACTGATGCTGTCTTGCCACAGGCTGGTGAACTTGACATTCCTTACCTGTTTTTATCACTGCAGAAATACTGATACAATACATACGCAGGTGTGCTCATGACTTACCCTCATCCTCGGTACTTGCCTTTTGGTACTGTAAACTCTTTTAAGCAATTGCACTTAAAAAAATTTCCAGCAGGCTTCACTATTAAATCACTTCTCCCTCCCCCAGAGTCAGTCTGGATATGATGTCCGTCCAAGCAAATACTGGCCCCTCATGGGAAGACAAGAATACCACAGCGTTCTGGAGAGGACGTGACAGCCGCAAAGAGAGGCTTGAACTTGTAAAACTGAGCAGAAAATACCCAGAGATCATAGATGCTGCTTTTACAAACTTTTTTTTTTTTAAACATGATGAAAGCCTCTATGGCCCCATTGTTAAGCACATTTCATTTTTTGATTTTTTTAAGGTAAGCCACCGACCGTTTCTCACAGACCTAGGTTCTCAGTGTCTCCCATTATCAAATAACTTTGCATGTATTCTTGATAATAAAGTGATTTTTAGTTCTCCAGCACACCACCAATAACAAGCATGAATAAGCATCCCTCCAGTGGGATTAACTGCTATGTAGCTCTTACGCTGAGGATAATAATGTTTGATTTGCATCTAAAGGTTCTGTAGAACCTTGTGTAATCTATGTAACTCCAAGTTCCTTTTTATTTCTTTTTCCTGAATCAGCCATCAGGACTACTAACATAACTAACATAGTGGGAAAATGAGTGGATGAAGTGGCACATCTACCCTCACATCCGAGGATGAGCATCTAAGAATTTCCGGAGAACTTAATTGATGAAGAGGGCATCTCTGTGTACCCTGCACTGTGATGAATTCCAAACTAAATAATAAAAGCTACTTAAACACTGATGCTTGCCTAGCCAATCCTACATTTCTCAATGTCGGCAAGTCAGTAATACCAGTGCCCTCAGAATAATATAACCTAACCAAGCTACCTGGGTCTTCTGTTTGTTGATAACTTACGGTCATTTTCTTTCCAGTATAAATATCAAATTAATATTGATGGCACAGTGGCAGCATACAGATTGCCTTATCTACTAGCAGGAAACAGCGTGGTGCTAAAGCAAGACTCCATCTACTACGAGCATTTTTATAACGAGCTGCAGCCATGGAAACATTATATCCCATTTAAAAGTGACCTGAGTGATCTATTAGAAAAACTACAGTGGGCAAAAGAGCATGATGAAGAGGTAAATATACATTCAGAAGGACTCAGAGATGTTTCTAGACAAAATAGAGAGAGCAAAAAGCACATTTCTTTAAAACAAATCTATTAGAAGGACTTAAAAATTATTGTCACCGAGTCTACAAATAAAAAAGCCACTTTTTAAAAAATACATAATAATGCCCTTAATTTGACATTAAATTAAGCTTTGGAAAAATTAAAGAGTATTTTTCTAACACTGCTTTACTTCTAAAATTAAGAACGCTGAAAAATATGTAAGTTATCCTAAACATTCAACACTGTACTTAACTCCTAATTTGACATTAAATTAAGCTTTGGAAAAATTATAAGTTATCCTAAACAGTCAACACTGTACTTAACTCTAGAATCAATCCTGAAATCACTGCTATTTTTTGAGAATTTTACAGATTTATTTTTTTTTTTTTGACAGGCAAAAAACATAGCAAAATCCGGACAGGAATTTGCAAGAAACAATCTCATGGGAGATCACATTTTTTGTTACTATTTCAAGCTTTTCCAGGTTAGTATATTTTTAATGGCTACTACCACAAAAATAGAGATCCCACAGAAAGAATTCAGGGCCACGGAGCTGCTGGAAATTGGCCAGTCCAGTACTGGAAGCCACAAAGCAAGCAGCAGCAGTTAAGAACTTGAGTTGGTTTACAAACATTGCATGCAGTTATTTCCTATGAAACCCCTTAAGACTACTCTGGCGGTTTGAGAGAAGCAATCGGATCCCATAAATCTTGATCTAATCTGCAAGAGTGTGTTGCCCACAATGATCAAAGAATTCCACGTCAGACGCACACCCTGTGAACCACAGCTGAAAATACCTGTGCATTAGCACCGAGACACCGAAACTCCAGTGAGGCACCCGCTGGGGCTCCTGTCTGCAGTTAAGTATCTGCTTACCCTGTCTGTGACATGGTGTGGAGTAACGGATTGTGTGGCCCCAGAGTTTTTACAGAATTACTCAGCCGAGCTGGCGCAGTATTTACAACCAGATGTACAATCTAATGGGTTTATGAATTAATGATACCTTCCTTTTTTTAAAACTAGGAATATGCCAGCTTGCAAGTGAGCGAGCCAAAAATCAGAGACGGGATGGAGAAAGTGCAGCAGCCTGATGATGACCTTTTTCCATGTACTTGCCACAGAAAAAAGGTACATACACTGTGAAACGTAAGTGGCTGGGTGCCTTCAGTTCGTGTTCAACCATGTTGGAACAGCCCCTGCACAGTAGCCCACGGTATCCCTTACCAGACCATTAATGCCTATCGGACTCGGAAACATTTCTTCATGTATTTGCAGGACTAGACAGTTAAAAACTGAGTTTCCAGTTAGATAAAAATGTTTCTTCTTTCTTGACTACAGGCCAAAGATGAACTCTGACAGAAAGAAATAAAATAATGTTTTGAATATTTACCTACATTAAGAATGCTGCCTTAAGAAAAGAAGAACAACGTGGATTAAAATGCCATGGATAATGTCAATGTATATTATGAAGTTTGCTGTATCATGATCTACATACGGGAGAAAACCAGGCACCCCCTATTTCCTTTTTATCATGCAGTGGTTGCAGAGCCTTGTTCAAAAACATTTTTATAATTTTTTTTTTTTTTTTTAAATAAAAACCATGTTTGTATCAGTCATGTGTTACTGTCCTGAGATACTGTGGAAATGCAGATAACATTTTACTCATGCTTGTTATACTGAGCTAGGCACAAGCATGTTCTGCAAAAAAGGGCAGACAAGAATTGTAAATAGAATCATAGAATCATTTAGGTTGGAAAAGACCTTTAAGATCAAGTCCAACCAGTAACCTAACCCTGCCATCCCACCACTAAACCATGTCCCTAAGCACCTCATCTATCCTTCTTTT